ACTCTGATGGTCCTGGATCAGGTCTGATCTGGACTGTGGTGTCTCAGCTGTACTCTGACGGTCCTGGATCAGGTCTGCTCTGGACTGTGGTGTCTCAGCTGGACACTGACGGTCCTGGATCAGGTCTGATCTGGACTGTGGTGTCTCAGCTGGACACTGACAGTCCTGGATCAGGTCTGATCTGGACTCTGGTGTCTCAGCTGGACACTGACGGTCCTGGATCAGGTCTGATCTGGACTGTGGTGTCTCAGCTGGACCTGAGCTCTGCTTCACCTGCTGCTTCACTGTGTGAATCACTGTTTTCCTCAGTGGTTCTGGTCTCTAATCGAATCTGATCCAGTTTGATTGATTCTGTATTTTTCTGCTGTAACAACAATAAACATCAGAAACTCTGAGACTCGCTGTCTGCTTCAATGACCACATGACAACAAACATCTGGAACCAACAGGCCTCAAACCATCTGCTGGATCACAAACCAGTTTTACAAGTTCAAACCAGTTTAAACCGGTTTAAACCAGTTCAAACCAGTTTAAACCGGTTTAAACCAGTTCCCAGTCTTAAGTCTTTGTCACAGTTTACCATCGAGGACAAACCCGTCACATGACCAGTTTTTAAAGACGTACCTGAACCTGTCGTGCCTGAAACGTCCAGCAGCATCGTCACAGTTCAACTGAGTTTAACATCTGGAGCGACTCAGGTGAGTCTCATGTCCAGGTGAGTTCACACAGGTAAATAATGAAGATATCTCCATCTTCAGGTTTCATGAACGTTCCCCTCACCTGCTCCGACACATGGAGATCATTCATTCGAACATGATCTAAATAAACAATCAGAGATGATTCATCATAAACTCATTATACACTTTAAGGACCTCGGGTCAGATCCAGGATCTGTGATTTATACTGACACCAGCAGTCTGAAGTCACAGACCTGATCACTGTTAATATGATCAGACTGGATCAATGGAACATGATCAATAATCATCAGGACTCTGAAGTCACGGCTGCTGCAGCTGCTGAGGTGAGACGTGTGGATCAGACTATTTCCTGGAGTGAAGAAACAGACTCAACAGTTTGATCTCAGTCACAGCCTCATTTAAATCATCAAGTTTCCTCCTTTACTTTTACTGCAGGTGGGGTGGGGGGGGGGGGGACACCACCTCTGTGAGTCGAAGCAATTCACACTGAAACAGACTAAATACTGAACCATCATGTTTCCTTCATGTCTGTCACACTCAGAGATACAGTTTGTTTGTCTGTTCATTTTTCTTTGTTATTTTCTTTATTTGTTTGTTTGTTTGTGACGTGCAGACGTCTCCAGCTGATGAACACCCTGTGCCTGTAGTTCCTCTTCCAGACCAGCAGAGGCTCCACAGCTGCAGTGACTCATGTTGTTATATAAGAGACCGGCTGCAGCTGGACTTATGTAACACACACGTAGACTGAGTCCTGGACCACGTGGATCTCTTTTGTTCTCCCAGGTTTCTCCTCGACCCCACCATCACCAACAGACACACCTGTCACCTGACAGGACTTCCCACAATCCTCCAGACAATCTGTCTTCTTCACAACAACAGAACACTGATTCTGGCGAGGAGGGGAGGAGAAGAAGAGGAGGAGGAGAAGAGGAAGAAGAGGAGGACAAGAGTGACACGAGTACTGTCACATGCCACCACAGCTGCTCTTGGTGACCACCATGGACAACATGGCGTCCCACCAGCAGCTGCTGCCATGGCGACAAGTACCACGAATAAACAAGAGGTTGATGGCAGTGCCACAAGTGGTACATTTGTAGTCCCAGAGGTATTCCAGCTTTTTTTAAGACATAAACCAGGAAGTAAACCCATTTGTAGTCCTTAATCCAGGAAGTATTCCAGTCTGTATCATGGCCCCGCCCCGCCCCCCCATTGACCCATTAATCACACAGAGAGGTTGTTTTGTTTTTCTGTTTAATTTCTTTGTTTTTAATCATCAGTTAAACACAAGGAAATTTTCAGGCAGGAAAAATCAACCAATCACAAACAAGTAACAGCATATGACATCATACAGCAGGACCATCTGATTGGCTGGTCACTCTTTAAAGGAAGACGATTGGTGCAGAGCAGTACAGGTGTGGGAGGGGCATTTCAAGGTCGCACGACAGTGATTGACATGGTTGTCATGGTAACAGCCATCATGCTCAGCCCAATGATGACAGTAGTAAACAAAAACAAACATGTAAACAAATCAAGAGAAAAAAACACTTGCTAACTCCTAACTCAATAACCAGCCATTAACTAAATTAACTTAAGATATCCACTAATTAATGATCTAATTAACTAACGAGCCAATCAGCTGCAGCAACAAAGATCAATAGAAGGAGGGAAGACAACAAAAAATACCATGACCCTAACACTGTTGTCCTGGTTACTAATGGCTAATGCTCCCATGGCAACAGACGAGGTGACCAAGGTTCAATATGGCCGAAGAGACAGACCAGTCGTCAAACTGGTTGCTGAACTGGTTTGTGATCTGGTCTGTGGTTTCTGGACTGGTTTCTGGACTGGTTTGTGTTGAGGCTTGATGTCTGGGATCTGACTGATAAAACCGGATTAGTGTGAACCTGTCATCTGGTTTCTGAACAGCCAATCAGAGCCAGCCATACCTGGTGACACATTTACAGAAACAACCTGACTTCCTGTGATCTGAACTTCAAAGGATTTTAATGTTGTAAAAAACAAAGCTCTTGTAAAGAAGCCAAACAAATAAATAAACAATAATAAACAAGTGATAAATAAATAAAGACGAATAAATAAACTGAAGGTCGATCAATAAACACATCAGCTGTGTGATCAATAGTTTGGTCTTTGATTCGTGCAGATTGATACGATGATTGATCGTCTGTCGCTCTTCAGTCCATCCTCAGTGGCAGTGACATCAGAGCGCGTGTGCGTGCTGATTGGTCGGTTTCAGGGTTTGTGTGTTTGAGTTAAAGCTGCACTGAGAGTGTCGTAGGATCAAGTCACAGAAAACTACCAAACACCAATGATGTGTTTACACAGAGAAAGTGACAAAGTAACTCGGAGTCAGTGAACGCATCACAAAGCTGGAACAAGACTGAATCAGCACAGAACAGGTGAGTCTGAGGGAGACTGAGGACACACTCACTGGTTTCATTACACATCTGGATTAGTGCAGCTTTAACGTGTGTGTGTATGTGTGTGTGTGTGTGTGTGTGTGTGTGTGTGTGTGTGTGTGTATAAACAGCTGTGTCTACTTGTCGTTGATCCGTAGTTTGAAGGAAACCCGTCCGGCGAACTTGTCTCTCTCGTTGCCGGTGGCGAGAGTGTTGGAGTTGATTTTACACTCAACGTTGATGTCTGTGTTCAGAGAGGCGTTCAGGAACTTCACGGCCACCAGCGGCTGAGTGTAGTTCACCTGAGACATTGAACACATCACACACTCATCAGTATGAGAGTAGGTGTTACTACCTTTCTATTGGATTATTAAATAAATCTGCAAACACATGGACAGACATGATGAATGACCTACTGACAGGGATTCATGACCCGGGATCTACTGAGGATCTACTGATGTGGAGCTTATTATTATTGTTGGATCTCATACGTGTCATTATTGTTTTGAATTGAGGGAATTTGTAAATTTGAATAATCTCAGTGAAGACGTGTGTGTGTGTGTGTGTGTGTGTGTGTATAGTGTACTGTGTGTGTGTGTGTGTGTGTGTGTGTGTGTGTGTGTGTGTGTGTGTCTATAGTGTACTGTGTGTGTTACCTGAGCTTTCTTGCCGTAGTACGGGTAGTACATAAGATTGAAGGTCCCATTAGGAGGAAAATACGCAAGAGGTCCGATCTTATCACTGTCTTCTCTCTGTACACACACACGCACGCACGCACGCACACGCGCGCACACACACGCACGCACACACACACACACACACACACACAGATCAATAACTCATCAATAAACTGCAGTGACAATGTAAAACCCATCCAGACAGATGGGACAGTGAACGCAGCACAGGAAAGTGAACCTGGTCCTCAGGTGAAAGATGATTTTAAACAAACCACAGTCTCACACATCTAACTGTCCTGGAGGTGTTCTACGTTCTAACACTGAGGTTCTTCACTGGGATAAAAGTTCTACGTTCTAATACCAAGATTCTATGCGTTCGTATGCTATGAGTTAAATGTTCTATGTTTTAACAATGAGGTTCTACACTGATTAAAAGCTCTATGTTCTAACACCAGGCTTCCACGCTGAGGAAAATGTTCTATGTTCTATTGTTCTTACCCACTCATCTTTCCCCACTTTGTACCTCTGAAGATGTAGGAATGAAAAGACGGAGACAAAACAGATGAAATGAAGACAGTGAGACAGTCAGAGAGACAGACAGACAGACAGACAGACAGACAGTTAGACAGACAGACAGGTTCAGACCTTGGCTCCACAGGTGACATAAGGAGACTGACCGTCCTTCCCAGGTAACATACCGATCACCTGGAGAGATAGAGAGAGAGAGAGATAGAGAGAGAGAGAGACTGTCTGTACCACTGTGAAGTATTTGATCAATACTAGTTGGTTCTTAACCTTCATGTGTGAGACTCCACCCACCACTGTTTGTTTATCTTATATCTGTTCTCATGGAGTCAGACCATCTCATTAACATCAGCTGTGACTAGCTGTGATCGTGATCAGCTGTGATCAGGTGAATCAGCTGTGACCAGCTGTGACCAGCTGTGATTGTGATCAGCTGTGACCAGCTTTGATCACTTCCTGTCTGCAGTGTATCATGATGTTTTACTGTGAAACTAAAGGAAACTTAAAACAGGAGGATTCTCAGTGAAGTTTTGCAGACTCTGTTGCTGTGGACATTTATTCTGGAGGGACATCAGAGATGATGACATCATCAGGAAGTGATGTCACACTAACCAGACCTACATGTGGTTCAGGTCTGATTGACTCTAGTTGACCTCACACAGTCTGTAGACAATGAAGCTAACAAACCAAACCTTCTTGTTCAGTCTTCTAGTTTTCAGCTTTAAAATTCAGGCCAGAGGTCAGAGGTCAGAAGTCAGAGGTGGACGTACCCGGTTCAGTTTTATGAGGATACAGGGCTGACCTCTGTTGTAACCATAGAAACGATCAGTGATCCCAGAACAGTCCTCCAACATCGTTCGATTAAACTGACAGGAACGCTTGGGATTGTTCCTCACCTGTGGAGAGACAGACAGGTAGAGAGAGAAACAGGTGGTGAGGCAGACAGGTGGAGAGAGAGAGAGAGACAGGGGGAGAGACAGACAGGTGGAGAGAGAGAGAGAGAGAGACAGTTTGAGAGGGAGAGAGACAGGTGAAGAGACAGACAGGTCAGAAGACAGGTGGAGAGAGAGAGAAAACGAGAGACAGACAGGTATAGAATGAGAGGTGGAGAGACAGACAGGTACAGAATGAGACAGGTGAGAGACAGACAGGTATAGAATGAGACAGGTTTACCTCTCCACTGTCCTCTTGAATGAAATACTGATCTGGAGGACAGTTGTCATTGGTCTGAACCTGGTAGCTGTCATTGTACGCTGCAGACAGACAGGTAGAGAGACAGACAGGTAGACATTAGAACTAGAGCTGATTACTAATGAAATTAATTGATTAAAGATTGTTGAAGTCTTACAAGACAAGAAGGTGTTGAGGTTCTGGATGAAGCCGTCCCAGCTCTCCGTCTCTGACACCGAGAACGTGATCTCCAGCTGATCGCCCTTCGGACGAATCATCATCCCTGAATGTGAGAACATCATTGACCAATCACAGCCTGACCCTCGTTAACCAATCACAGCCTGACCCTCATTCACCAATAGGAGTGTGACAAACCTGATCACACTGACACTTTCCAAAGTCAATGAAACAACTGTGAAATGTCAGGAACAAGGAGTTGTTTGTTCAAATCTTAATCACTGTTTAACATGTTGATAAGCAAACAAACAAACAAACAACTGACCAAGGTTCAGTTCTGGATTTGAAAGGATTCAGATATAATACAATGCTACTGAAACCCCTCCCTAAATCACTGTGAGCCTCATCGACCAATCACAATCCTTGTGACCCACAGCTTGGCTATCTGCCAGGTAGCAGACAGGTGTGTACACAGCTGCTGGTGGGTGGAGTCTGTAAACGGTGATCACTGCGTTTAGGATTCAGACTTTGGTGATGAGGAATCATTTTCCACACTGTCAACAGAAGTCTACACTAGTTTTTTCCCAGCAGGCTTTGGGCTTGTTGCAGTAAAAAAAGTCATGGTGTCCGTGTGAACGGACGACTTCATCAGTGTCGTATGATTATTGTGTAAATGTAGGATTAAAGAAATGATTCCTGTCACATGACTAAATGTTTGAGTCGTGACATGTCTCCTCCTCCGTCAGTGATTGTGATGTATCGACTGCTGCTGGTGGAGTTAGGGTGGAGGGTGAGTTTGCTTTTCTCACCTGGAGTGGCCAGGCGGTCCTGCCAGGTGGGTTTGTAGTCGTCGAGCGTCAGCAGCATGATGTACATGGTGAGAATAAACATTCCCGCCAGAAACAGGTAGAAGACCAGGTAGAAGAGCAGGATCAGACCTGGGGGGGGGGGGGGGGGGGGGTGTTATACAGTAGAGTACATTACATCTGCTCCTCCCCCTTCTCTCCTCTAAATATCATCTTTATAATCCTCTTGTGTGTAGCCCCGCCCCCTGCTGATGACCTACATTCAGTTTGAATGGAGGGGGGAAGGGGAGGAGTGAGAAAGAGGGAAGGGAGTAATGTCTCTGTCACCCTCTCTCTCTTTCAACTGATCACTTTTACTAATTATGTATCCGTTGTTACCTTGGCAACAGAGAATCCTGCTCTCTGATTGGCTGACAGAGAGCTGTAAAAATCCTTCTCAACATTAACCTGGTAATCATAGCAACAAGACTGATGATTCAGGATTTATGAACAGTGAACTGACTCAAGGACCCTGAAACTTTCTCAAGGATGCCTGGAACACCTCAAACACCATGAAAACCTCCACAAAGACCTTGAGAATGTCCTCAAGGACCACTGAACCTCCTGAAGGACCACTGAACCTCCTGAAGGACCATAAGAACATCCTCAAGGACCATGAAAATGTCCTCAAGGATCACCGAACCTCCTCAAGGACCACTGAACCCCCTCAAGGACCACTGAACCTCCTCAAGGACCATAAGAACGTCCTCAAGGACCATTAAACCTCCTCAAGGACCATGAGAACCTCGTCAAGGACCACCGAACCTCCTCAAGGACCACTGAACCCCCTCAAGGACCACTGAACCTCCTCAGGGACCATAAGAACGTCCTCAAGGACCATTGAACCTCTTCAAGGACCATGAGAACCTCCTCAAGGACCACAGGAACCTCCTCAAGGACCATGAGAACATCCTCAAGGACTCATGGAACCTCCTTATGGATCTATGGTGTCTTCTCAAGGATCCCTAGAACCTGTTGGGTTCTAATGCCCTCTTGATTAAAATCACTGACCAGAGCAGGTCCTTAGCCCCGCCTCCCCCACACAGTGACGGTAACTCTGACCTGGACTCGGTCAGGTGAACCTGTTAAAGGCTTCCTCCTGCAGAGTTAATGTTATCAAACGTGTCCTCGGCTGCAGATTAAACCGGCTCACATCAGTCCTGAAGACCAGGATCTGGTCCTGGTCCTGACAGGGACATGTGTCCCGGTTCCTGGAGTCAGACTTATGTTCAGTTTGTCACAGATAACAATGTGTTAGCATCTTTACTGCCTCATGTTTGACTGGGGACAAGAGAAGCTTTTCTTCAGATGAAAACCCCTTCATTCAGCCCCGAGTACTGTCTGCAGGTGTTGATTGTTTGTTAACTGTTCTTCTTCTATCTTATTATTTCTTCTGTTTTATGGCGATTGTTTTTTTACGCTTCTGGGTGTCTCCTGGTAACCACAATATCACAACGCTATGAACTTTGGGTAATTCCCTCAGGGGAAGTCTGCAGAAATGAGAAATTACAGAAAGTGTGAATAAAGGACTCAAATGTCTGTTGGAGAGACTCGTCCTCAATGGTTGGACTCTGGGACAATCCTGAGACCTCACTGACTGAACGTGTCTCAAAGTCTATGTCCATGAGAGAGGGGTAGGGTGTGTGTGTGTGTGTGTTTGTGTTTGTGTGTGTGTGTATGTATGTGTGTGTGTGTGTGTGTATGTGTGTGTGTGTGTGTGTGTGTGTGTGTGTGTGCGTGTGTGTGTGTATGTTGCCTGAGAGGTGAAACTTAACAGAGGTGTTTTTTCCCAGGGTAAGTGAACACATCAACATTAATGTGTGGTATTGCTGACTCTGAGCTGAGTGTGTTTTTACACTGATACTCTGACACTGATACGCTGGATACACTGAGATTCATCTGATCTAGTAAAATGCTGTACTGTTCCTTTAAGATGATGTCAACAACAGCCCTCACAAGTCCATTATGACTAGTGTGTGTGTGTGTGTGTGTGTGTGTGTGTGTGTGTGTGTGTGGAGATTACAGTCCAATCAACATCGTCTGTCTGTTTAATCCAGATTAACACACACTCAACTCGGTTCATTGTGTGTGTGCATCAGTGTGTAAGAGTGTGTTCACAGGAGTGTGTGTGTCCTTCAGTCTCCATCAAGGCCAAACATCTACTGCCATGGTGCATGATGGGAAACATGCCATCACAGTTATGTAAAGCCTGAGCAGACTTCAGATCAGTTAGGATGGTTTTATATCAGTGTGATGTTCTACAGACTGCCTGCCTGCACAGGTAACAGGTGTGTGTCAGGTCTGCACAGGTGTGTGTAGGTGTATGTACAGATGTGTGTAGGTGTATGTACAGGTGTGTGTAGGTGTATGTACAGGTGTGTGTGCAGGTGTACACAGGTGTGTGTACAGAAGTGTGTCAGCTGTGTATATAGGTGTGTGTACAGGTGTGTGTCAGGTGTCTCTGTAGCTCTCCCAACAGAACAACTGAAAGATAATAATCAGCTTTTACATTTTAAAACAAAAATATTAATTAAAAAACTAAACTAAATTAAAAAAAAAAAAAAAAGATTGACTAAAACTAAAGAAGAACATTTTCATCAGTGAACACAAACTACAAGACGAGTGACGAACGTTTATACAGGTGAGGCAGGTAATCAGACCATTTACAGAACTGGGGCTGTGTGAGGAAACAGAGGAACAGTCCTGTATCATCTGCATATAGTGAAGTCTGACGTTTCCAGAGGCAGCAGGTATGAAGAAGAACAGAACAGGACCCAGAACTTTTCCCTGAGGAACTCCATCAGAGAATTCTAATGTCTGTGACACATCACCTACACCAGTGATGGACTGGGAGAACTGGGAGAACTTGGACGCTTCACAAACTGGGCTCAATGTTAGAAGAGTAAAACATCAGAGTGATCGAGGGAGAGATGGATGTGGCTGTGTTGTGGTGATCGGTCCACTCTGGTTCTAGGACGCCTCATCTCCCTCATGTCTCCCTCCAGCACACTATGCTCTGTTTGGCCCTAAAGCTCCGCCCACACTCTCACTGTTAACAGAGGTGACGTCATCACAATTTAAACATGGAGGCAGCACTGGACTGCTGCTGACTCACATCAATGACAAAGTTACACTAGAACATCCGCCTAGGTAACCTTTGACCTTTGATCACCAAAATCTAACCAGTTCATCTTTGACGGACTCACGGATGGACGACCTGAAAACATGATGCCTCTGGCTGCGGCAAAAATCCCAAAAACTGAGTCTGAAAATCTGACAGTAAAGAAGGTAAAATCCATGAAATCCACATGATTCAAATGGTTCTGCATCTAGCAGCAGTTACTGTGCTGACAACCTGTTGTTTATCGTGGTTAATGCAGCAGGGTTATTGGTGCCTCCACATGTTGTGTTTACTGCCACCACGGAGAAATATGTGTCATTCCTGTTTTTCCACCTCTGACATCATCATATTTGTGTTTTAGATGGTTTTATGTTTGTAAGTGACAAACACAAGCAGGATAGTTTTCAACAGAGAAATCAAGACTGTGGTAAAAAATCACCTGCATCATTATCATCATCTTCTTCATCACCATCATCATCATTATCTTCATCACCAACAATATCATTATCATCATCATCAAGAGATAAACAATAATTCAGTGCAGTTTTTCTTTAAAGATGTGACCATGATACTGGAGACATGTATAACTGCAATATACACACATGTACAGTACACACACACACACACACACACACACACACACACACACACACACACACACACACACACACACACACACACACACACGTCCTATTTTCTGTATAATTCATTCTGCCTCCTTTAAGAGAGAGACAGATTATAAATAGAGAGAGAGAGAGAGAGTGACCTTCAGACAGGACATGGCTGACAGAGGATGAGCGAGCATCACTGACACAGAGAGAGAGAGAGTGTCAGTAGTAGATAGACATTTACAAAAAGAAGAGAGAGTTACAGTTCATATCATCTATATTCCTGATGTTCCCTATGTATAGGCTCTTTTATAACAATATCAATAACAATAATGATAATAAAACTAAACAGTTACAAAGAGCTTTACACGTTGATCCAGGATTAAAATAAAATCACAATGGTCATTATTACAATACAAAATGGAATTAAACATCAACTTTACTATGAAATGAAAAACAATTAAAGAATGTATGAAATATATTTCAATGTTATAATTATATTAGTATAATTGATCAGAGACATTTACAATAATCGATCTAATCTAATCAACCTTATATCTTTATATGTGTTTTATGTTTTAATACATTAGTTTCCTTGTTCTATTTAAATGATCGATAATTTATATTTGCCTTTGATGTAACATCAATAATACACTGACAGAGATTAACTGTGTAAACGAACCTCAGTGTCAATAAAGATCCTTCAATCTGAAGATTCAGGTCCAGACTGCAGAGCAGAGCTGCAGCTAACCACTGGTTTTATTACTGATTATTTCCTCCAGTAATCGATGAGATGAATTATTCATATTGCTGGTAACCCGATCAATTCTCAGCTGATCAATAACGGATTAATCGACTAAGCAGCTCTGACACCGAGAGAGAGGTTTAGGTCGAGAGACCTTTAGAAACACAGTAACATTATGTCAATAAAGATTATTTAATCTGAGTCGGTGGTAGAGAGACATTCACAGTGGCTGGCGGACTGAGAGAGAGAGAGAGAGAGAGAGAGAGAGAGAGAGAGAGAGAGAGAGTGAACGGGACTCACCCCAGCTGGAGGCGGTTCGGCCCAGCAGTTCATGAGTTCGCGGATTCCAGAAGAATTCCCGCCACTCGCTGGAGCCTTTGCGGTCCTCCTCCTTGGTGCCGGACATGATGGTGAGGATGAGGATGAAGATGGAGGTCTGTCTGTCCGCTCAGACGGCGCGTGATGTCCCCTATGACGACACGAGCTTCCCGCCGCCGCCGCTAAAATACTCAATTCAAAAACGATTAGCTCCTGAGTATTGATACGACGGATCGATGATGATCGATGAGATGAGACGGGGAGAGGTTGAGAGAGAGAGAGAGAGAGAGAGAGAAGACAGTGTCAATGCGGTACACCTCCTCCTCCCCCAACACCGTCTGACGTCACACCTCTTTCCGCCAATCACTGAGCAGCTCCATCAGCACAGACCCCGCCCCCCTGCAGTCTGTGTGTGTGAAGAAGATGGAGGAGAGGAGGATCAGGAGGAGGATCATTACTGCTGTGATCCAGTCTGAGGAACAGTCTGTGACGATCTACAGAGGATCCTGGAGCCTGAGGAGCCCTTCAAGACCAGGGTCGGACCCAGCGTCATCCCAGTATCAGCCGGGAGACAGTCCAGTATCAGGCCAGAGTCAACCCAGTCAGCCCAATATATCAGCCCAGAGTCAGCCCAGTGTCATCCCAGTATCAGCCCAGAGTCAGCTCATTATCAGTCCAGAGTCAACCCAGTCAGCCCAGAATCATCCCAGTATCAGGCCAGTATCTGCCCAGTCATTCCAGTATCAGCCCACCATCAGCCCAGAATCATCCCAGTATCAGCCTAATATCAGCCCAGAGACAGCTCAGAGTCAGTCCAGTATCATCCCAGAGTCAGTCCAGTGTCAGCCCAGAGTCAGTCCAGTATCATCCCAGAGTCAGTCCAGTGTCAGCCCAGAGTCAGTCCAGTATCATCCCAGAGTCAGTCCAGTGTCAGCCCAGGGTCAATCCAGTGTCAGCCCAGAGTCAGTCCAGTGTCAGCCCAGAGTCAGTCCAGTGTCAGCCCAGAGTCAGTCCAGTATCATCTCAGAGTCAGTCCAGTGTCAGCCCAGAGTCAGTCCAGTGTCAGCTCAGAGTCAGTCCAGTGTCAGCTCAGAGTCAGCCTATTGTCAACCCAGAGTAAGCCCAGCGTCCGCCCAGTGTCAGCCCAGTCATACTAGTCATTCCAGAATCATCTCAGTATCAGCCCAGTGTTCTTCGATGCTGACCAATAGGAGCACAGAGAGCAGTGCAGTGTGGTATCTGCAGAGAATTAATATTAAATATCAGACATCTGTTAAAATGTTTTCAGACAGAACCATCAGAATATAATCCGGTTTTGTTGATGTACAGTAGACATACATGTTTCTATGTTTGTTTTTTACTGTCATCTGATTGAATAAGTAAATAGGTCTAATCCTGCTGGACTGAACCACGGAGTCTTTGGCTGATGTTTTTTACTGTGTCACAGTCAGCTCCAATCAACCTCACCTTCTCATGGTCTTCACACGTTCTCAGACACTGTGGCGATTAAGGGTATGTCCACACTACTTTTTTTCAAATGAAAACAACCTCCGTCCAGGCCAGAGCCAGTCCTAACACACCTGAAAACACATACATACCTAAACTAAAACAGGCTCAGCAGGGTTTCCAAAACTCTGGAGTGATGTGGACGGGAGGAGAAAACATAGCAAAAGACGTGCATTTTAAAACAAAAACATAGTAGTGTGGACACAGCCTCACAGAGTCAGCACTACACCAGAAGTATGACGAACCCTCTTCTGTGATAGACCTGATCCAGGTAAACAGAACTGAGGATAATCAGACTGGTGAGCCTGACTGGACATTTTCCTCCATGACGATGACTCACCAGCTGATCAGAGCAGATAGAGACCACGTGGACCTGCAGTACAGCTGGACCTGACGAGAGCTGATTAGCCTGGATAAAATGTGGATGCAGCCTGACTCAGGTCCTGAGTCAGGTCTGGGTTGCTAAGAACCAAGTGATGTGGGAAGGCCTGAACTGTGATGCATGATGGGAAGGTCATTAGAAAGAAAGAACGTAGACTGAAGACTGTAAAATGGTTTTATGCTCCTGTAGAGACCATTAGTTATTCTGGACTGAACTGTGTGTTGTAAACTGATCCATGAGAACTCTGCCACCTACTGGTGAAAGATACGAACCACCACACCTGACCAGAGGCTGTAGAACCAGTCCAGAGTCCACAGACCCGTAGACAGGGACAGGCAGAAGAAAACACAGAGGGAAAGCAGCAGGTTGACATCAGCCTTTACCATGACAACAATAACACTGAATGGTGTCTGGTTGAGATGCAGAACCATTAAAGGACAAATCTGTCATGTAAAGATATAAAATGTTACTCAAAAAGGAGAAACCTTTCAAAACCTTTATGGTCTACGTTCTGCCTTGTTCTCCACTGTGTCTTCTAAAACGAAACTTTCCAGGTATTCGTCACTGAAAAGGTGAAACTGTCAGGAGATACAGGGACAGAAGATTTAATTTTCTCTGTGGGGAGAGAGTAGTTCAGCTGGGACAGAGGACAGGAGGAAAAGAGGAAGGTAGATTCTCTTTGACATGTAGAAAGGTCCCAAGCAGATCCTGTATTTTAATGAGACGTATCAACTACATTGAAGCCAATCATAACCACGTCATTTCTTTACCGTGTTCTACTGCGTCCAGTCACCTCAGCTGCGCTGCACACAGCAGCATTTCTCTCTGGTCTCTCAGCAGGGCCTGATCTGTTCCTGCCGCGCTGATGATGATGATGATGATGATGATGATGATGATGATGATGATGATGATGATGATGATGATGATGAGAGGTCTACATAGAAAACATTCAGCAGCAGCTTCTCACGTTTGTCCGCCGCTGACTAGTGTGTTCGTCTGGACAGAGATTGTTTTCGTTTGAAAACGCTGTTTTAAAATAAAAATGTAGCTGTGTGGACGTAGCATTAGTTTGCACTGATTAGAAAACCTGTTCTTTAATTAAGAGTTGAATGTTAAGACTTGATTCTGTTGAAACTGACAATGCCCCAAAACCATGAACCAAACACCGTGAACTTTGTGAATCGTTCCTCCTCCCTCCTGACGTAAGCTCTGACCAGTTAAAGAGACAATTGTCTCCAGTGGTCAATCACTTTGTTGTTTATGAGGTAAAAGAAGCAACAGTCTGTGACACCACGTTACAATCAGAGCAGAAGGGGTGAGTGTTTCTGTAGTTTTAATACAGTGGGATCCATTAAAGGAGCCACACTCAGGACCGGACTGGACTCATTAGAAACGCAGTACTACAGAACTCAGATCGGGACATCTCTACTTACAAGTGAAATTAACACTACACCCACAGTTAGGGGTTGTGGGGCTCCTATGATGGAGGTTCAGGGACAGGTCTGTCTCTGTTTCCTTATCTAACGGAGTCATTAGTACTCGGGGCGCCTATGGTCCATCAGAAGTGGACATGTCCAGTGTGTGGATTGGGAGGTGGTCCTCCTGAAGGCGCATCCTGAAGCAGGTTCCTGGCCAGCTGCCTGCTGACCGGGTAGTTCTGAGCCAGAGACTCGTCAGTCCACTCTGTTCTGGACAGCAACTGGTCCATGTGAGGCCCCGGGGCCCTATGGGGAAGTGGATATGGACTGATAATGGGGTCCCGCTCCACAAGTGAGTGTCCCGGGGGTCGATGAGGCCCATCAGGTTCATAAGGTGTACCCGTCAGTAAAGACGTGTCCTGATCCAGTGCGGTCTGCAGTCCCTGGGTCTGCTGGTCCATTTGGTACAGATGCTTCTTGTGGACCTGAATATGGTCCTGGTGGTCTAGTCTAGCATGACACAATTGCTTTTTGTGAATTTGAAGGAGGTCCTGATGGTCCAACTGGGTGTGGTACTGCTGTTTCTTCTGGTTCTGGATGTTGTCCTGGTCATGATGATCCATCTGGGCATGATACTGATGTTTCTTCAGGTTCTGCGTGTGGTCCTTGCCCTGTTGGTCCATTTGGGCCTGGTATTGCTGCAGCTGCTTCCTCTGGCTTTGGTCTTGATGTTCCTGGTTCTGGTGTTCATGGTTCTCTTGAAGGTCCATCTGGGCATGGAATTGCTGCTTCTTTTGGCTCTGGATTTGGTTGTGGACCTGGTTCTTGATGTCTTTCCAGTGTCGCCCTCTGAGGACAGGCTCCAGGTCCAGGCAGCGCTGACACACCTCCTTCCCCGGTACTGATTGGACAAGCACATGGACTCCCAACTGTCTCCAGACCGCCTCCTTCTCTGCAGACGACCACGGGCGACGTCGGACCTTCCTGGGAGCCACGGGGACTGAAAGACCGACAGAAAGATGATACGACATTGCAGATCTCTGACCTGAACATATGTGAGTAATTTCTTTGTGACTCCAGGACCCACCTGTGATAGGAGTCGGCAGTCTGGACTCTGGTGGAATCAAGGAGGTGACGGGTCTGTTACTGGTCTTTGACGGAACTACAAACAGGTAAAGACACAGAAGAAGGTCAAACAGCACCATCTACTGGACCGCTACAGTTATTACATACTGTGCAGGGATGCCTGAAACACATAAGGGTTTTAAGACTTAGGGGGTCAAACTTAATGGTTAAAATCAGGTGTATAATCTGTGGTCAGATTTGGGCTTCAGAATCAGCTTCATGATGACTAGTCAAGGATCAATGTTGGACCTCAGGGGTACCGATTTAAGAACTGTCCTCTTCTGCACCAGAAATATGATTTGGTTAAACTTACTGGTAATATTTTATTCATGTACAACCACAGTTAACTGTTGCTTCTAAGATACGCAGCCACCTGCCTCTGGCTGGAGCTGCAGCCCCCCCTCTCACCACACTGGCACCCGGATGTTGCAAACAAATGAGGTGTGGAGTGGGAAAGGTGACATCTGGTAACACCAGTGGTTTGGCAGCTTTTTGATGTAGAATACAGTCAGAGTTGGGAGTTTCTGTTCAGAGGTCTGGGTCAAGACTCACCCTGTGGTCTTGGGTCAGGTTCTGGACCTGGCTCGACATGCTTCTTCTCGTTCCTTGACTGGACTGGTCGTTTCTTCAGCTTGGCTTCTCCGTCTGGGTCGACTAGAGGAAAAACAAGTTGTGTGGATTGATCATGTGCAGCATATGAATCTGTCATGAAGTTCTCCTTCCTGATGAACGGTTGAAAACCTGCACCCAGTCAGAGACCAGAGTCACTGGAGGGATCAGACCCTGGTCCGTCCTCTGGCTCTCATGACAAGTTCAGCTAAATAATTTTTAACCACATAGTCCTGAGGGTTGACCCAGGTCTTACCTGTGTCAGGGTCAGGGTTCACCAGCCCTAGGTTGTCCCACTCTCGTCCCAGCATGTGGTAGAAGTCTGTGGTTTTGGCTGCAGCCTCCCAGTCTCCATCCTGCAGACTCTCTCCGATGGCAATCTCACAAACCGTCTTCAGTGTCGTCTTCACGGCCAGTGGAGGGCGGCTCCACCGGTACCCTGACGCCTTTCTGGCAGCAGTCAGTGCCAGGCTGAGGCGGCCCGGAGCCAGAACGTCCTGCAGGGTCTGAACATCAGAGTCCAGAGATTTAGCAGCCAGGAGGAACCTTCCAAGCTCCCTCAGTTTCTGGCTGATGTAATCGTACCTCTTCTGGCTGCCATCTTGGTTCCCCATCAACTTGTTTCCATATTTACAGATCAACCAATCAGATTTGACCTGGACAGAGTGAGGAAGAGCAGGGTTAACACAGAGACAGATAGCAGGGTTTCTGCATGTTTCAACAAGTTAAATTTAAGACCTTTTAAGACCCTTATGAATGAAATTTAAAACTGATTTCAAGTCCAAACTGGTAAAAAAGTAGAAAGGATATAAAAGAAAATTCCTTGAATTAGTTGCAACCTAAATGAATTTATTCACATTCACAACTGTGTGAGAGAAAAAGGGATTAACACAACATATATATAATATATATAACAAGGCCACAACCGCTTAACTATTTAATGCCCATCAACTACACTGTGTGTGTGAGTGAGGGAGAGACATTGAGGAAAAAAAACATTTGCAATGCAGTTACTTCTCAAATCATGACCAGCTGTGTGTACGGCAACTCTTCTGACCGGGCTGCAACGTTTGTATCAGCAATCAGTTCCACGTGGGTCTGGTTTGTAGTTTTTTTTTTTTTTTGGGCTTTTATGCCTTTATTGGACAGGATAGTAGAGAGACAGGAAATGGGGAGGCAGAGAGAGGGGGGATGACATGCAGCAAGGACTCGAACCGGGGGCCAACTGCAGTGAGGACTGTAGCCTCTACACATGGGGCGCCTGCTTAGACCACTACGCCACACCACGCCTCTGGTTTGTAGTTTTAACACAGCGTGGTGTTTGTGGACCATTGAAAGAACTACAACACAACCAATATACACTGTGCCATCAGAAAATTTTGTGCCATCAAAACTTTTGGCCCCCTCCCCTTAAAGTTTTCAAGACTTTTCAAGGCCTAAAATTCAGATTTTTAAATATGAGACTTTTCTAGACTTTTAAAGACTCTGTGGAAACCGTGGATAGAAAGACAGACAGGTGGACAGACAGGTGGACAGACCTGATGTGAGATGTGGTCCTGGTTCATGCGGTGCAGGACTTCGCTGCAGCTCTCAGATGCTCCACTGGAAATTGGCAGGAGGCGGGACGCCGCAGCCTGGACCCTGCAGCGCTTCCTTGGCCGGTCCGCCCCGGGGTCAGAGGTCACATTCTGATCCCCACTGGGGTCAGAGGTCATGGGCCGTTTGGACCCGGTCTCAGAGGTCCCAGTCTGGCCTGTTGTGACTGTGTCCTCTGAGGGGTCAGCCGGTGTGTCCTCCGTGGACTTGGATGTCCTGTTGTTTGCTCGGTCACGGACCGACTTTCCTGCAGAGACAGAGGTTGAGTCCTTCATGGGCTCAGAGGTCGTCTCTGCTGTGGACGCAGAGTCTGTGGACGGGTCAGAGGCCAGCTTCTTACGACAGGACGCCTGATGTTTCCAGAGGTCCGAGCGAAGGAAGAAGCCAAGGCAGAGTGGGCAGGGCAGGTAGTTCCTCACATCGACTTCTTCTGAGGGCTGACGACACGGGACGATCTCACCACTGCCCTGCCTGATCACCTGAGGGACAGACAGACAGTTGCCAGGGAGACAGGTAAACGAACAGACAGACAGGTAAACAAACACACCATCCTAAGTAAACAGGTAAACAAACCTCGATGTTGTGTAGGTAGTTGCCCCTGCAGCGCAGGTGCTCGAGTAGCAGGTGCCGTTGTTTGGAGCCCGTTGGCAGTGTGCTGGCAGCCATCACTTCCTGTTGGTCGGCGTGTTTCCTCAGCAGGTGTCGAGCGATCTTCACCTGCGGACGCCGACAGAACACGCAGTAGTGTTTCTTATCCCACCGCCGCTTTCCACCGCTCCACATCCTCTTCACTGTTACACCCTCCTTCTTCTCCTCCGGACCCCTCCTCTTCTCCTTCTGTCCACGCCTCTTCTCACCAGGACCCCGCCTCTTGTCTGCAGGACCCCGCCTCTTTCCTCTCTGACTCCGCCTTCCTATGGTGGCAGTGGCTCGGCGGCGGGGTCGGCGGCCAGCGGGCTTTGTTACCTCTTCCTCCAGAGAGGAGGTATGGTCTGACAAGTGGACCTCAGTCTTGTTCGCCATGGCAACGTGAGCTCAGTCCTCCACGGTAACAGTCTCTACAGTGACAGGAGACCTGATGATCAGACAGGTGAACTTCAGCCTGGTGCCGGCAGGTGTGACGATTTCAGGAGAGACATGTTTTAGATTTAAATCCGGACTGTCCTGACTGAACCTCAGGAAAGAGGATTTCCTTTAAACATTATTGATCAGTTAATCAATCAGACTGTGACATCATTGACTGACTCCATACAAATACCTGGCAGTTTAAGACTTCTGCATTTCTCTGCACAAACACCATCCTCAAACAAACTCACACAGAATGTTTCATAAACAAGTAGTTGTTAGTTTTCAATTCGGCATGAACCAAATTTATCAACAGTTCTTTAAACTTTAAATACTTAGTCTCATGTGAGATTCCCACCGTCTCTGCTCACTAAACGCACAATGGTCGGTGGACTACAGTAAGCAGCGTGGACCTGTTTGATGACATCAGCCTGGGTCGTTGTTAAACTGCATGAAACATTACACATGGACAGGATGTAACGGTTAGCTGTTTTCTGAATGGAGTACGGGGCGAGCTCCTCACCCCGCCACTCAGCGGTCGGACTAGAACCGGTCCAGGTTACCGACACCAGGATCGGGTTCCTGTGTGTCCACGAGTGTTTAGACTGACTGACACGAATTGCTGGGTGTGTAACCTCGTTGATAACAATGGTCAGAGTGTTTGTGGAGGTCAGAAAACGGACAGGACGCCGTCAGAGCAGGGCGTGTCCGATAATGGAAGCCTATCGACTGTCAGACTACATGCTAACGGCTAGCGGGGGAGATGCTTACCGCAGCACCGCCGCTGTTAGCATTTCAGGAGCTAACGTGTAGCTACATTACACCGCGTGCAGTCAAACGTAACAGAAACATTAGAGCTGCTGACGAAGCCACGGAGACAGAACTCACTTCTGGAGCTGAGACAGTCCTCACCCTGCGAACCGCCACTCTGCTGCTCCCCTCTCGTTTGGCTCGGTACCAGCGGACCGAGGTGGTTACCGCCACCTGCCGCCCCGGAGAGGCACTACACTCTGGACGCTGCTGCTCAAGACCTGAAGGAAGAGTTTCTACAACAGGTCAAATATTATTATTATTATTATTACCATCCTTGTTGTTATTATTATTTAATTGTAGTTTTCCCCAGATTTACCCACAAATGACTACAGCCCCCCCCCCCCATGAGTATGAACCGGATCACAGATGGACGTCACCTGGACCGACGTCACCGGCAGTCGGCAGTGCTGAGCCCCTACGTCAAGGGGGGAGGGGAGGAGGGTGCTCCCGGTCTCCTCCCCCCTAATGCCCCTCCTCCTGCTGAATAAAAACCTCTGTGGTCTCCCAGTATCAGTGTGATCGGTGTGAGCGCGAGGACACGATGGACGGATTACAGGTGAGTGTAGACAGGTAACAGCTGCTGTTACTGTGACATCACAGAGTCTACTGCCATATTCTACTTGTTCTACTTCTACTGCACAGAACTGAAGGTAGAGGGTTGGACATGTCAAGGTTTAACAGGAAACAAGAAACTGCTGCTGTGTGTGATGTCCTGCAGCCAGCCTGAGTCTCCTGCTGGTCTCAGTCTCTGGTCTGAGTCTCTCTGCAGGTCTCAGTTTCTGGTCTGAGTTTCTCTGCTGGTCTGAGTCTCTGGTCTGAGTCTCCTGCTGGTCTCAGTCTCTGGTCTGAGTCTCTCTGCTGGTCTGAGTCTCTCTGCAGGTCTCAGTCTCTGGTCTGAGTCTCTCTGCTGGTCTGAGTCTCTCTGCTGGTCTCAGTCTCTGGTCTGAGTCTCTTGGCTGGTCTGAGTCTCTCTGCTGGTCTCAGTCTCTGGTCTGAGTCTCTCTGCTGGTCTGAGTCTCTGGTCTGAGTCTCTCTGCTGGTCTCAGTCTCTGGTCTGAGTCTCTCTGCTGGTCTGAGTCTCTGGTCTGAGTCTCTCTGCTGGTCTGAGTCTCTCTGCAGGTCTCAGTCTCTGGTCTGAGTCTCTCTGCTGGTCTGAGTCTCTCTGCTGGTCTCAGTCTCTGGTCTGAGTCTCTCTGCTGGTCTGAGTCTCTGGTCTGAGTCTCTCTGCTGGTCTCAGTCTCTGGTCTGAGTCTCTCTGCTGGTCTGAGTCTCTGGTCTGAGTCTCTCTGCTGGTCTGAGTCTCTCTGCAGGTCTCAGTCTCTGGTCTGAGTCTCTCTGCTGGTCTGAGTCTCTCTGCTGGTCTCAGTCTCTGGTCTCAGTCTCTTGGCTGGTCTGAGTCTCTCTGCTGGTCTCAGTCTCTCTGCTTGTCTGAGTCTCATGCTGGTCTCAGACTCATGCTGGTCTGAGTCTCCTGCTTGTCTGTGGTTGTGTTGTATTCTCAGATTTTACAAATTAATAAAGTTTTTAAACCTAAAATCCTTCATGTGATCATCTAGTCCAGGTCTGACAGGTCTCAGTGGTCTTTGGTGTAAACCTGGTCCTAATGTGGTCTGTGAACTGTGCCTGAACTGGTGGTGAAAGACACCTGAACGCAGCACGTGTCCTCGTGTTTTAGTACAGACAGGTTTGTCTGGAGGAAGCGGGGCTGCTCCAGGTATGCAGGTGAGCGGTCATCACAGTGTTTGTTGCTAGGAGACAGAAACAAACAGAGAGTGATGACAACACGATCAGGGTTTACTTAGAGATTTAAAGCTGCAGATCAGATCTGAGCACTTGAATCAGTCTGTAGTGGTTTTGAGTTTCTGTGGTGGTTTTGAGTTTCTGTAGTGGTTTTGAGTTTCTGTAGTGGTTTTGAGAGCTGGATTTAGCTGGTCTCTGTCAGGGACACCTTTACCTGAATGAGTCTGTGTTTGATTCCAGGTGAGCATCACATGTCTGCTCCTGAAGATGACCTTTGAACCCTGCAGTGCAGTACTTCTGCAGAACCCCAGCAGATGTCCAACATGTCCACAAGGTAAGGTATAAACCAGCAGGTCAGATCTGTCTCAGATTACAGGACTACAGAGTACATACTAAATACTACAGACTACAGACTAAATACTAAATACTACAGACCTCAGACTAAAGGCCTCAGACTACAGACCTCAGACTAAAGACTAAATACTACAGACATCAGACTACAGACCTCAGACTACAGACTAAATACTACAGACTAAATACTACAGGCCTCAGACTACAGGCCTCAGACTACAGACTAAAGGCCTCAGGCTGAAGACTAACGGCCTCAGACTACAGACTGAAGACTACAGACTAAATACCACAGACCACAGTCTATCTAACCTCAGATGTCTGTGGTTCTCAGGTTACTTTGTGATGCAGAACTGCTCTGTGAGTCCTGACGGAGGAGTGGGAGTCCGGTGTAAACTGTGCACTGACTGTTCAGGTAAACGCACCTCAACAGGGCTTTAATCTCCAGACCTGATCCTGAACCAGTCTGACTCCAGACCTGATCCTGGTGTCATACTGACTGATCCTGAACCAGTCTGACTCCAGACCTGATCCTGGTGTCATACTGACTGATCCTGAACCAGTCTGACTCCAGACCTGATCCTGGTGTCATACTGACTGATCCTGAACCAGTCTGACTCCAGACCTGATCCTGGTGTTATACTGACTGATTCTGAAATAGTTTGACACCAGACCTGATCCTGGTGTTATACTGACTGATCCTGAAATAGTTTGACTCCAGACCTGATCCTGAATCAGTCTGACTCCAGACCTGAGTCATTAACTCTGTGTTTGTGAAGCCAAAGCACTGAGAGAACATCTGTGAGACAGTCATACAGTATTGACTGATTATGGACTGATTATTGATTGTTTGTTGATTGATTATTTATTGATCGTGTCCTCCAGCTGTTCGTCAGGACACTGTGGTGGAGTGCTCGACCTTTGCTGACTCGGTGTGTGGAAACCAAACCACAGCAGCCGTCACACCGACAGAGACGCTTGCTGAAGCTCCTGCAGGTAAACTCACCTGAGTGCAGCTCATTTCCTGTTTGGTTCCTCTGTCCTCAGTTCACTGCAAGTTCAACAGGTTCACACCAGGTCCTGGTCCAGGATCCTGGTCCTGGTTCCTTTACCCTGGTGTTCATCTCATAACTTATTTTCCTTCTTCTTCTCTATCTTCCTCTTGTCCACAGTCTCTGCTCCTGAACCCTGGATCGTCCTCACTGTGATGTAAGAATCAACCACCTTTAATAATCACCAGTGATGATATTGATTGATTGATTTCTGTCCAGGTGAATTAGAGCTTTTACCTTCAAAACCACAGAAGCCCAGAGTGGTTTCAGAGACAAGCCCTGTCCTCAGAGAGCAGCCCTGTCTTCATAGACCAACCCTGTCTTCATAGACCAACCCTGTCCCCTGAGACCAACCTTGTCCCCTGAGACCAACCTTGTCCTCTGAGACCAGCCCTGTCCTCATGTTTGATGGTTTTGTCTCTACAGACTTGTCTCTGTGTTCCTGGTCCTCCTGCTCAGTTTGTGTCTCAGCCTGCTGTCCTGCCCAAACCAGCAAGGTACCAAACACAAAGGTAACAAGCTCTGCCCTCCTAACAACAAGCCCCTCCTGTCAGATTACAACCCCTTCCCCACTCTGATACACCTTGTGGTTCCCCTGCAGGTCTGGATCTGCTGTGACGGAAGTGGATCTGTCTTTGAGACTTAAATCCAGTTCAAGTGTCTCTCAGCATCGATGCTGATCCAGTTCTCAAGGAGACTGTTGTCCAGGTCTACACCAGCCTGGTGCTGCCCATATCTAGTCCAGTTTTAGGTGTAAGTGTATCCCAGGTTCAGTCCAGGTTTAGTGCAGGTTTTGTCCAGGTGTGGTATAGGGACAGACCAGGTGTAGGTAAAAAAGGCTGGGTCTGTGCTTGGCAGGAGTCTGGACTCACTCAGGACTGTTGTGGAGAGACACATGCAATGTAAGATGGAGGCCATCTTGGACAATACCAACCATCCTCTCCACAACATTCTGGCAGGACAGAGAAGCAGCTACAGCTGCAGCAAACGTCTCATCTCACTGCAGAACAGAGAGGTTCAGGAGATCCTTTGTTCCCACTGCCATCAGGCTGTAGAACACCTCAGCCAAAGAGCTAATGGACACATGAATTTCCCCTAGGGGATAAATAAAGTATCTATCTATCTATCTATCTATCTATCTATCTATCTATCTATCTATCTATCTATCTATCTAGTTAGTCTAGGTGTAGTACAGATGTAGTCTAGGTTCTGTCCAGGTGTAGTCCAGGATAGATGAAGTTAGTCCAGGTGTAGACCAGGTGTAGTCCAGCATGTACTAATTTCTTCCCTGTGATCAAATTTAAAAATGGTTCCGCACCTCTGAGTAACAGAACAACATGCAATGACATCACTTCCTGTGAGATAATTTATGTTTGGATGGGTGTATGTGTAGGAAATCAGAAAATGTTTGTCAGCATCAGACCAAACTTTTCATGATGGTTAAACCTGAAACATTAAATTCAAACACTGGTGTTTCACTGTTGTTAGTCTATGTCAAACGCCACACCAAACAAACATTGGATCCTACATTTCCCATAATGCACATGACCCCTTGCAGAGCCACAGGCTCAGGAGGAACCTTATGTGTAAAGTCAGTGGAATGAATCTTTAATGTGACCTGTTACCTGTTGTCTGGGTGAGCTGTAACCATGGTAACAGTGATTGGCTGTAACCAAGGTAACAGCAGTTGTTTTCTGGCCCTCTGGTGTTCCTGCATGTTGTTCTGTTACTGAGGTTTGTCATTGTTATTCAATGTTTACTGTTTGAAATGTGAGTGTGTGTTTGCTGAGAGACACCTGCAGCGCCCTCTGGTGGAGTTAAAGTGGTCACACACACACAGAGCCCTCTTGTCTCTTGTCTTTTGCTTTGTTATGTTCTGATGTTTGTTCGACACTGTGTGAAAACATTAAAAAAAAAATACACACAGTAAAGACAGCAGTGTTGTGTGTTCACTTCTTCAGTGTGTTGTTAATGGTGTGTGAATCATTTTGA